TACTGAATTGTGTTTTCACTGGCTAGCATAATGCCTGGCACTTAGCTAATGCTAATAAAATGTTTCTTGAATTAATTTTTAAATAGTCATATAATTTAATTGAAACAACTATTTGAATGGAACAAAAAAGATACTCAGACTCATTCACTCTTACAGAACTTAGTAAAACACCAGCAAATTAATAGCTTTGACTATCTCTAAACATTTTGATCATTTTTTATTTTTCCTTTGCTCCAAGTCAGAAATTCAAAAATGAAATAACATTGCCTAGTCAATCTACCTGCAGATATTGAAATATGCCACTAGAGAGCAGCAGGATACTGTGCTGCCAGCATAGTCTGAAACCTCAGTCTATTCTGGGATTGATCAGATGCCGCAAAGTCTTCAACAGAAAATTATTCTACTGCTTTATATAGATGAACAATTATTTAAACAATTAAAATATATGATTTTTGCCTCCAAGGAGTTCATTTTTATATAATAGGTAATTGGTAAGTAGTCTATTTTTATTTTTGTATTGACATAGCATCAGTTTTGTTCGACTGTTTCAAAAAAAAAAATACATAGACCATGAAAGGAAAAAATAATAATTAAGTGATTAATAAGTGGAAGGGATCTTTTTATTTCACATATTACAGTAATATTTTTGGCTTCTATGTTCTTTTTTTATTTTCCTACAATGACAACATATATATTTTGTAATTAAAATGTAAATATCAGGGAAATAATTAAGATATTTTGGTGTCATTTTGCTTGCACTGGTTGAGACTGGCCAAATCTGATAGCAAAGAAATGAAGAGAAGAAGGGCAGGAAGAGAACTCACTAGTGAACAGTGTCAGCTGAGCTCCTGCAGGTGCAAAGCTCACATTGAAATGGAACTGCTGGTGCAAGAACTTTCAATCGATCATGGAACCACTTGAAAGAATAAATGCTGGACAAAAACCAACAATTTTTAAAAGCAATACGACAACAACAATGCCAAAAGATAAAATACCCTTCCCCATATAGCTAGGATCATATAAGACTTCTCCGAAAAAAAAAAAAAAAAAAGAAATCTACAGAAGGATGAAAACTAAGCCTTGAACAATTGAGAGGTATGATGATTGTATATAGGAAGACATAACCTCATACAGATAACAAGTCTTCCTAAATTAATAAAGCAAAAGCAATAAAAATAAAGGATTTGTTTTATATTTTAATTAAACATGCTGATTCCAGGTTCATACAAAAAAATCAACAAGAATAGCTGCATTTAAGCTCTTTCAAGGAGGCCCCTACTTCAGATCTCACATGGTTTCAGGTACACCTCGTCTTCTTACCCCTTCAGGCCAGGAGTGGTGATGGCTTCCCACTAAAGCTGGTCCCTAGGGTTCTCAGCACTTCTCACCACTTTTTTTATCTTGTCTATATTTTCATGAATAGTTCCTTCATTAAACTATCTTCAACCAGATCCCGTTGAGTGAAATTATATTCCTACTTGGCCACAATCCAGTTTTTTGTTTGTTTATTTGTTTTGTTTTGGTGAACTCGGAGAAGGGAAGGCTTTTCTATTCAGAACTCAAAATCAGACACCACATAAGAACCATAGATAAGATTGACCACATAAGATCAAAACATTTCACAATGTTTGAACTAATGTACACCCCACCAACAGTGTATAAGCATTCCCTTTTCTCTACAACCTTACCAGCACCTGTTATTTTTCGACTTTTAGTAATAGCCATTTTGACTGGTGTGAGATGGTATTGCATTGTAGTTTTGATTTGCATTTCTCTAGTGATCAGTGATATTGAGCTTTTTAGACAGCGTAGCAATTCCTCAAAGACCTAAATACACAGATACTATTTGATCCTACAATCCCATTACTGGGTATATACCAAAAAGAATATATATTGTTATATTATAAAGTCACATGCACTTACATGTTCATTGCAGCAACAGCAAAGACATGGAATCAACCCAAGTGTCCATCAATGATAGATTGGATAAAGAAAATATGGTACACATACACCACAGAATATCATGCAGCCATCAGAAGAGTGAGATAATGTCCTTTGCAGGGACATAGATTGAGTTGGAGGCAATTATTCTTAGAAAATTAATGCGGGAACAGAAAATCAAATACCACAAGTTCCCATTTATAAGTGGGAGCTAATGATGAGAACACATGGACATATAGAGGGAAACAACATACACTAGGACCTATTGGAGGGCAGAGGATCAGGAAAAATAACTAATGGATACTAGGCTTAATACTAGGTGATGAAGTAATCTGTACAACAAAACACTATGACACACGTTTACCTATGTAACAAAGCTGTACGTCCTGCACATGTACCCGTGAATTTAAAATAAAAGTTAAAACAATAATAAAAGTTAAAAAAATAATAAATAATAAATATCTGACAGACAAAAATGAAATTAAATCAAAACATTTTGCATTCTAAAAAATCAATTCAAACGTACAAAGATAGGTGATAAATGAGACTAAATATCTGTAACTCTTAATATGGAGTAAGGGGTAATGCTTCTAGTACATAACATAGCTCCAAAAAAATCAGTTAAGAACAGACAACAACTGAAGAGAAATCTGAAAAAGAATGTAAAAAAATGTAGAGAAAAAGAAAGACAGATGGGTTTTAAACATATTAATACACGTTCAACTTCACTCACAGTAAAACAAATGTTAGTTAAAACTACGCTAGGTAACATTTTTCTAACAAATTGTCAAAAAAAAAACCCAATAATAACACTTTATTACAACTCCTATAAAAGATGACTGATCAATATCTAGAAAAATTAAAACTAATAAATATTTTGAGCCAACAATTCTAGTTATGGGAAATTATCTTACAGATATACTTGCAAACATGCAGAATAATACATTTATAAGATTATTAGTATCAGCATTGCTTATGTTAATAAAGATAGGAAATAATATAGTCAGTAACATCTAGTAAATACATCACAGTAGAAATGCTTTCAGAAATAAGGAAACATGGCTGGGTACAGTGACTCAAGCCTGTGACCCCAGCACTTTGGGAAGCTGAGACAAGAGGATTGCTTGTTCGCAGGAGTTAAGACCACCCCTTCTATTCATGAGACCTCATCCCCATTGTAAATTAAAAAATTGGCCAGATGTGGTGGTGCATGCCTGTGGTCTCAGCTACATGAGAGGCTAAGGTGGGAGAACAGTTGAGCTGGAAGGTCGAAGATGGAGTGAGCAGTGATTGCACTACTACATTTCAGCCTGGGTAACAAAGTCACAGATCCTGTCTCAAAAATAGAAGAAAAAAAAAGAGAAAGTTTTATATGTGTTGCTATAGAAACACCTGTTATATGTAAAGAGCAAGGTGCAAAACAGGCATTATTTGTATAAAAACTATGTGGAACTCAGCGTTTAAAAAATATTAGGAAGGATATACAAGCTCTAATAATAGTGGTTATCTAATGTGGGTGAAAAATGAGAATGACTCAGATAGACAGAAAACAAGGATGGGAGAGATTCTTTATAGTATATCATTTTATACACTGATTTTTTGGGTGACAAGTTTTGCTCCATTGCCCAGGCTGGAGTGTAGTGACTATTTGCATGCACAATCACTGCATATCTAAGGCCTGGAATTTCTGGGTTCAAGCATCTTCCTGCCTCAGCCTTCCAAGCATCCGGGATTAGAGGCATAGGTCATGGCACCTGGCTTGTCTTTCACATTTAATTTTGTTGTGATACAATTTGAAACTTTCTATTCTAAAAATGAAAAGGATGAATAATTAAAGTTTATGTAATAGAAATATATAGCTTCTAAAACTAGACATGTAGTTTCCCCTTATGCTGTTCTTGGATCCAAAAGGTGCAGCTTTAGAAAAGAACTGCAAACCCACATGAAAAGTTGTCAGAAACCTATTTTTCTTAAATCCAGTCTTTTTTTCTCTCTGTCTCCTTCTCCTTAATTCACATTGCAAATAAAATTTGGCTTCTCTGGTGCCAAATGCATTAACTTGCATATTCTAGAGACCAACCCAAAAGGATCTTGAATGTCTGGATACAGATTTCTCATTCCCCATCTGATAGCCTTAATTGAGAGAATGTCTAATTCCTTCTTGGTCATCTGTGGTCAAAGAGAAAGGCTCACTCTTATAAACTTGATTGTTGAGTTTCTAAGTCTGTAATGTTCAGAACATTATTTTTTTAGCTGGAAAGAAACCCTGAAATAAGTTTATTATCTCCAGGAGTTGTGATAACATTTTTGAATATATAATTTTACATAGCCTTTCAGAAAATCTATAGAGAAGGTATATAAACTGCATCTACAGATAGTGCTCGAGGAGGTTAAATAAATTGCTTAAGGTCACAGCGATTGACAGAACTAGGATTCAACTTCAAGTCTGTCCTAAGTCTAGAATCAGAGCTCTAAACCCTTTCACTGTATACTTCCCTGAAGGCTAGGCTCAAAAAGTTACTCTGTGAGGAGACAAAACAGTTCAGTCTAATTCTATAGTTCTTTGAGGCCCTGGCCTTAACCCAGGATAACATCTTAAATATCTGGAGGAACAGATGAAATTTACTCCCTTCAAACTACTCTCCATAAATATTGCTTATCACAACCAGGCTGTTAATAAGTACTGGACAGAAGATAATTCAAAGTTATTATCTCTGGCAAGTTATGCTTGACTTGTTCTTTCTTACTTGAGCAAGATACAGAGGCAAGCATGGGCAGAGGAAGCAGTATGTCCTAACCAAGGAGCAAAGAGAGAACATGGAGCTCTTCTTGTCCCCTCACACCTCTGTGCTCACTCATTTCTTTAGCAAGTGTTCATTTTGCACATATTAAAATAACATGTATGATGATTTGCAGTTTACAAAGCATGCTTACTAATATTTTCATATTTTGCCCGTTCCATTTAATGAAAGTAAATGTTATCTTTTATATTAAAAATAGTAGTTAAAATAATTACCCTGCATTGCTTAATTCATGACAATCAGACAAGGCAGACTCACCATCATGTCTGTCCTCATTACTACCCTGTATTGTTCAGTAGTCTATGGAAGGCACCTTGAACTTCCAGGAGAACAGATGATTAACATTTGATTTCTCATCTCAGTGTACTCATAGTTTTCAGCACTGCTGATAATGTAAACTTTATCTGAGCCCTGTGTTCCTGGAAAACAGTGAAAGTTAAGTAAATCTCTTCACCTTTTCATGTTCCAGAAGATGCATCACTGCAAAGATATACCCTTCCCCATATGCCATAGATATGACTTAAGCATGGCTCCCTTTACCTATGACAAGGGCAGAAACAGATGCTCCACATTCCCATCCTTTGCCTAGTAAATAATTAGCTGAACTGTTTAACCACATTGACCAGTGGAAAAAAATGTTGTTAAATAAACTGTGGTTAATATTTTCTCCATTGTCCAAGACTTCGACCCACCGTAAACCTGAACCAGCAAACCACCCCTTTGTAATATCCCATCCTGAGAGTAGGCTGGCCTTAAGTTAAAACATTCTCTGATTTACTCTTCTATCAGGACACCCTTTCATTCTACTTCTCCACACATGTTTCTTTCTAGTCTAGTTGACTTGTCTGTATGAAAGAAAATTCTTTCTTCCAAACTCTTAAAACATTTGCTGATCTTGCCGTCAGAACATTCTCCCTATTGTAGTAGCTCACCTTCTTATATTACAATAGTCACTCTATCCTCTGCCTCCTTGAAACAATCCTTTCAAATAAAGTCCTTCTTAAATACTGATTTGTTTTGTATTTAATATTACAATATTACAATTTAGAAGAAACATTCTCCATATCACTGCCAGAGCAAATGCTCTTTTGAAACGTTAATCTGACCTTGTTATTCCCATGTTCTAAACTCTAAGCACGTGAGTAATTGCCCAATTCCACTTCATAATACTAGCCCTGAATGTTTACAGACTTATTTCTCACTTCTAATTACATATAACTTATGTCCTAGATAAAATCAGAGACTGTTATTGTCTTATAAAACCATATATTTTCTTCAATCCATGCAAAGAAATATACTGCTATATTACTTAACGTCTCCTGTACTATACTTTTAAAATGCAGTGTTATTTCCTTAGTCTATATATCACCACATAAGTTAATGTAACAATTATTTAATGTCCATTATCAGCAACAGTCTAAAGGTTCATAAAGGCAAGAATCTGTGCATCTTCTCTACTATTGGTAACTCAGCAACTTGGAACATGTTTAGCATACGATAGACATTGAATAAGTATTTCTTTCATTTACTGTGTGAATATACAAGTGTATAGGGTGGATAGATTTAATAAGATGTCTACAAAATGTACGCCAAGTTTTGAAAGGAGGAAATTATTTCCTAACAAGATTTGAAATAGGGTATATCTAACAGGTGAACTTGAATAATTCAGGATTAGATTTGTAACTACAGATAAGAAAATGGCATTTGGCTATTGCAAATAAAAAGGATAGTAGAGAAGTGAAGATGATAAGAAATGGTTTAGAAAAAGCATTTTTGGTAGAAGCGTGGGGGATATATATATTAGAATAAGGGATGATAAATGAGTAATTAATGGCAGAGAGCCTATAAAAAGCCAAGGTCACCATTTCTACCTGCAGTATCCTTGTGCAAAGTGAAAAGTGGCAATCTTTACTCAGGAAAACTTATTTTCATCTCTTTGAAAGTTGCAGCAATGTACCCATTTTTGGAATAACAAGGCACTTTACTGATTTACAAAATTGATGTAATCAATTATATAGTAAATATTCAAACCCCCTCTAGGTATGATAGTAATGATGCCCTGTTAAATTCCTGTACTCAACCTGCACAATAGTACTGCTGGCCCTTGACAAATAGAATAGAGAAATGACACTGTGCTTCCTGAGGCTGTCATTGTAAGTGTAGTAGCTTCTTTCTAGGATTATTGATACATTAACCCTAGGGGAAGTCAATTTTCATATATGAAATCTTAGTTCATCTTACTACCTGAGTTCATCTTACTCTGAGGAAACTCAAGTGAATCACACAAAGAGCACACATGGAAAGAGAGTGATGCTGGCTATCTCTCAGTTGTTTCAGACATCTTAAGTCAGGGTGGGCCATTTAAATGATAAAAGTGAATCTTGATTTTTTTCAACTCTAGTAGACATAAGAAGAACTAAAGTCCCAGATATTTTGTTCCCATCAGGGACTTTTTAAGTGAAATTTCTAGCCATTTGAGCCACCCTAGCAGAGGCTTCAGACATTATAGAGACCCCTCATCTGTATTCTACCCTGAATACATTACTAACTCTCAGAAATTATAAGCATAATAAAATACTTGTTGTTTAATTCTAATAAATGTTAGAGTTGTTTATTAGATTGACAAGTAAAATGGAGGATGTCATCATTGTCAGATAATGCTATAGTCTTCTAATAACTACATTAGAATTAATCCTTTTAGAAAGTATTAAGAGGTCATTAGCATGCTTATAAATCTTGTATTTTTATTCTGATTGTGTCCTCTGAAATTACAAGGAACAAAAGCAGGTGATGAGGCTAGCCAGTTGGGATAAAGTAGACTGGCTTGAAAACAATTCAATTAAATTACCATGCACTACATGGCACAGGGACCAACAACCTAACCAAGCTTAGGCACAATTCAGGAAGCATCACTATGGATCTATATGGATTATTGGAAGTCTGCAAGTGATTCTGAGCTAGTTTTAATTTGGAAATTGGGTATATTAATTTGGAGAGATATAGTCTTATTTTCTAGGACTCCTTCTGTTTTAGTCAGCATTTGCTGAAAGAACAGACCACTGCAAAACATCTGAGATTTACAAGGAGAAACATTTCTTTACTGCTCACACTGCTATGACTCAGCTAGGCTCTGCTGAACTTCATGAGTCTTCTCATTCAAGAACCAATCCTATGACACCTCAGTTGATGTTATGGAAAGTGACACCATCTTCTCTTCAGCCTCCAGTGCTATTTTCAGTTGAACACAACTGATATTCTAGGTACTTCTAATGTGAAAACCATGAAAGAAACAAAACAGATAGAAGTATAGCATTTTCATTCTTGCCACTTTATTTTCAACACACTATTTTTCCGGAGTTATCACAGGCAAGATCAGGGATTTTCCCAGGAATATCCCCAACTTTGGTGAACAAATTATTCTCTTTACTCTCAATAACCAATGCTAAGAAATGCTGAAAATCAAAGTGAAAAATAAAATCTCATGAGGCTATAAACTTCTTTTGCTGTGTTTCTCTAACTATGGTTATTTTAAAAAACTAAGCTGTCTTTTTATAGAAAAGGGTCTTCTTGTTAACTTAACATTAACTGTGTGGTGTTGGTTTTGAGGTGTGAACCCTGAATATCTGAGACAGGTGTCAGGTAATTTAGAAAGTTTATATTGCCAAGGTTAGGATGTGTACCAATGACTTAGCCTCAGGAGGTCCTGATGACACATCCTCAAGGTGGCCGCAGCACAGCTTAGTTTTATATATTTTGGGGAGAAGTGACACACCAATCAGTATATGTAAGATGTACATTGGTTCTGCCTGGAAAGGTGGGCCAACTCAAGCAGGGAGTGGGCTTCCGGGTCACAGGTTACTGAGAGACAAATGGTTGCATTCTTTTGAGTTTCTGATTAGCCTTTCCAAAGGTGGCAATTACATATGCATTTATTTCAATGAGCAGAGGGATGACTTTGAATAGAATGAGAGGCAGATTTGCCTAAGCAGTTTTCAGCTTGATGCTTCCCTTTAATTTAGTGATTTTGGGGGCCCTATTATTTATTTTCCTTTCACATTTCCCCCTTTTATTTTTTGAAAATCTTTTGGATAAAGCATTTTAGAAGAAAATGAGTCTCTGATCTCAGGTTTTGTCTGATATTTCATGTCTATCGTGGTTTATTCCTAACAGGTAGGTCTTGAGTTATTAGGAAAGCTCATTTTTTAGCAGGTTACGAAGTCTCATGTCCTATGAAGAGAAAATAGGGAGAGAAAGGGAGAAAAACAACAACAAACAAACAAAAATCCTAGAAAATCAACGTAAGCCACGTCACTCTGAAGTTCATACATCAGTAGGGAGATATGAAAAGAATTTATTACGTAAATAGGTTGTTGTTTTTTTCTGAAGTTTAAGTTATCTAGAATCAGTTTGCAGGGCTTTAGAAAAGCACAGGTTAGTTTTCAGTGACGTCAAATTAGGAAAATGAAGGAAAAAAGAAAAGAAGAAAAAAACTGAAAACTCTTTTGGATACTTGTAGCCCGGAAAAATTAGAATTCAGTCCAAAATGTAAATAAATAAGAAAAACAGAAAAATATTAGGCAAGACTAGAATCGAACAACAGGTATACTATAGTTTTTGAAACATAATTTTTCTCTCTTCAGTTTCCAACTTTTACTAAAGACTACTCTTAATAGGACTGTTTTGCTTTATTATACTTGTCCAGATTATTTGTATACAGTGCAGCAAGAATAATTATTCTTCACATAGGCTTTTTAAATTGGCTTTGAAGGAACTTTGTTCCATAGAAGAAATTTCAGATAAGACTATTTTTCAAGCTAAGACCAGCCATAGATTTTTACCATCAAATACCTATGAGTTGGGTGAATTCTTCTCTTGGGGTTCCAAGATAATTTGGGGCATCCTGGACCTGTCAGAAAGTGTCATTCTTTACTTACCACAAGTCAGGAGCCCTGTACAGGGTCTGTGTAGTCAAGGTATGAGGTTAGTTTTTCCAAAGGGCTTTTATTGGCTCTATAAGTCAAGTTTGATTCCTTAGAGAAAAGCACACCCTTCCAATCAAAACCTGGGTAAAATAACCAGTTTCTCCAACTGTGGCCTGTTACAAATGCAAACAGATTCTTATTGCATTTATGAAAATAGCTGTACTTCCATAAATTAGGAATATTCACAAATAGTTTCCAAATTCTGGATAAGTCAGGTAAAGAATAACAAATATGCTTCAAATTGTGTTCATAGGAGTATACTTAATTGTTAAAAGCCATCAGTAGCTCAAAAGATAAGTTTTCTTGACTCTGAAAAACAAAGCAAAGGATCAGCAATGTTTTAAGTAAAAAGTAAAAAAGACTATTTCAGTCTTTTGTGAGTTCAGTCCATGCATGTAATTCCTGTTCTGCTTGATATTCATGAACATTTCAGCTCT